ACGTTATCGGAGGACAGCGTGCTTGGTAAAGTAGAACAAAAAGGAGAAAGACCTTCATAAGGGTAGCTTGACACAGTAACTAAGACTTAGCTTAAGCACAGATGTAACTGTGAAGATGGCTGCAGGATTAAGCATCCGTTTAATTCCTTCTGCTATGCACAGTAATGCGGGTACATTTTCATGGTGAACTATCAAGTCAGAAGAACCGAGCCACAGCTGACCCTCCAGTGGGTTTTTCAGAGACAGTAAATCGCACAGCAGAAGATCGTCCATCAAATGGTGAATTTGAACCACGTGTCTTTGAGATTTCCACACAGTGAATTGGAGCCAATTCAACTACAACAAAGAGTAACAAGGTCTCAAATGGCAACGCTCTTTCAGAACAGTAAGTAGTGTCTTTTATTTTATTCATTTAGTGTTGCTCTGTGGTTTCCACCCCTCCATTCTGTCCTGCGATCCCTTTGAAAATGTACAGTAGTTGTTGCCGGGCTCTGTTTCTTCTGGTGTCAGTTACTGGGCCTAGTGGTTCGTCAGTCAGTGTATATTTTCATAAGCTTTTGATTTTTTTCTTTCTTTGCTCTATGTCTGGAGAAACAAATAGTTGCACCTTAGACGGCTGCTCATAGACTTTTGAGACCCTAGTTTCTATTCACCAAGGCCAGATGAAGTATTATCTTGGTGGACTGTGTTATGCAGGTTGAGCTTTATGTCCCCTGAGCCTGTGATCATGACCTTCCATAGCCAGTACTTCAGTCTCTCAAGGTTTCTTTGGTTGTTGCTAGTAAGCAGGATAGGGAGCTCTGGTTAACTTAGCAGTAAGGAACTGTGCTGCCAACCCAAAGGCAGGGGCTTCGAATCCACCAGCTGGTCAGCAGGAGGAAGATAGGCCATCTATTCTAGTGTGGTTTATAGCCTCTTAAAACCTGCTAGACTTCTCTCCCTCATCTGTTGGAATGTAGTTTACATAATTTATCCAATCTTTCCCATTCTCACCCCGACGGTGAGGGAGAGAACTGTTTAAAACCATATATATGATTGGGTATTATGGTCATGACAAGAGTCCAGAATGAAGGCTGCATAGTGCAGTGTACTGGGTGGTGGTGGGGGAGATTGTATACCATTGAAAGAATTTTACTTTCCAAAGAGAAGAGTGAACTGGGGAGGGAGGGGTGGGAAGGGAGGAAAACGCAACAATGAATGAGTGGAAATCCAAAGTCTCTGTAAACGTTCATGAAAATTAATTTAAAAATATAAAACCTGCTAGAGAACCAGCTATGAGTTGGATCCGACTCTATGGCCTATAAAGAAAAGCAGGGCATAAATTTAAAGAGTATAGAAAACCTTACCCAAGTAATAACATTTTCAATTACTCCCTATGGGGATGTGTATGCGGTATATCCTACAAAAGCTACACAATGGCTACACTCTTGCTAAGCTGAGTTCTTACTATACTTGTTTTACTCATTTCTCTCTGAAATGAATGCAAACTGATTATCCACCTGTTGCTTTCAGAACTAGATACAGGTCAAGCGTGTAATGGGTTTTCCCTTAGATATGTTGTATTTCTAGCATTTCCCATGTTGTTACATGTTATTGAGTTCCAACTGATCCATAGCTGACCATCTAGCAAGCTTTTAGAGCAGGCAAATCACACAAGAGACCGCCCATCCACCCGTGGAGCAGCTGGTGGACTTGAACCAGTGCCTTTGGGATTTCAGTACAGCTTTTTTTACCACCAAGCCACCACTTATGTAATACTTAACTTTACTATGTGTGGGAGATTGTTTGTGTAAGAGTATAAAGTCCCCTGAAGTACACAAATTAGCTGCTTCCCCCACACTCAGTGGAGTCATCCCCAGTAAGCTCTTTGTGGATCCTTCCAGTACTGATCCCCAGCCAGTAATTTGCCTTTTTATTTTATTTTATTATTTTTGTGTGCGTGTACCGTCAAATCAGATCTGACTGGTACAGGAGGACATTGTCCCTCCTTCCCCGGCAGAGCATCTGGTGGATTCGAACCGTGCGCCTCTGGGATTGTAGTTGCAGCTCCTTACCACTAGGCCACCAGAGCTCCCCTAGTAATTTACGTTTTTAAGGAAACTGAAACTGATCTTAATAGGGAGCTCTGGTGGCCTGTGGTAAGAAGCTATGTTGCAATCACAACTCCTGAAGCTTCTCTCCCATCTCCACCAATGTCACTTATTGGCTCTGAAAACCCCACTGGAGGTTCAGCTATGAGCTTGTTCTGACGCAACAAAAAAGTGTAAGAGTGTGTGTGTGTGTGTGTGTGTGTGTGTGTGTGTGTATATGTGTAAGGCGCTCTGATGTCCTAAAGGAACATGATTTAATTCCACCAGCTGCTTTGAGGGAGAAGGCTGGACAATCTACTCCCATGTGATTTACTGCCTAGATATGAGTTGGATCTGACTTGAGGTCACACAACACAACAACAACAACAACAATGGATAGATAGTTAGATTCATTGATTTTACCACGTTATCATGTTACCATGTTACATTGAAAAAAAAATCTACTCTCAATGACCTCTTCAAAGTGTTAAAAAAGCAACAATGTCAGTTTAAAGTCTAAGGTGCACCAGATCCAGCCCATAATATTTTCAATTATGTCCCATGCATCATAAAGATAGACAATGAGAAAGGATGACAGAAGAAAAATCAATGCCTTTGAATTATGGTTTTCGAGATGAGTTCTGAGTATCCAGTGGACTGCCGAAATACAAACAAGTCTTGGAAAAGGTGTAGCCAGAGTGTTCCGTGGAGGCAAGCCTGGTGAAATTTTGTCTCCCATACTTTCGGCCTGTGGTTAGAAGGGGCCGGTCCTTGGCAAGGATGCCACACTTGGAAAGGTGAAGGATCCGTGAAGGATCCATGAAGGAGGGGAAGACCCTCAATGAGATGAATTGACACAGTGACTGTAACGGTGTGTTTGAGCGTATCAGAAAGTGTGAGGATGGTGAAGAATAAGGTTCATTTCTGTCATTTATAGGGTTTCTAAAGTGCACCTGATCCAGGCCATAATCTTTGCAAATACTTGGTATGCATCAGAAAGCTGGACAATGATTAGGGGTGAGAGAAGGCAGATTAATGCCTTTGAACTGTAGTGCTTAAGAAGAGTATTGAACATATGATGGACCACTAGGAGAACAAACAGGTTTGTCCTGGAGAGGATGAAACCAGGATGCTCCTTGGAGACAAGGATTCTGAAGCTTCATCTGACATTCTTTGGACATGTTGCAAGGAGGAACCAGTCCTTGCAAAGGGCCGTCATGCTTGGAAGGGTGGAGGGACAGTGCAGGAGAGGAAGACTCTTCATGAGATGGATTGATTCAGTGACTTGGGTAATGGGAATAGGTGTGTCAGAGGCAATAAGATTGGCACAGGATAGAGTAAGCTTTAGGGCAGTTGTATAGGGGGTCGCTATGAGTCTCAGGTGACTAGATGGCACATAACAAAAACAACATGAGTTGTAGTTAACTCAGTGGCACCTAACAAAAACAATAGCATTAGATAAAGGGATAAATAAGTGTTTCTAAAATTTGCTCAAATACTTCTCATACATTTATTTTAAATATTAAAAGAATAGAAATATTGAGGCAATCCACGGAAAATTAGGAGGGATTATGGAGCAATAATGTACAAAAATATGGTAAATACTCAAACGTTAAAATCTAACTAAAATATATGATCAATCCATTATATAATGTTTATAATTTTTTTCTTTCAAGTAGAATATGAAATGATGAAACCAAATGATCTTGATTAAAATATAGTATACATTCATATAAAATAAATTTAAGAGAATTACACCTAAACTCAGAGACTTTTTACACAAAGATACATAAGCAAGTAGAGACTGTCTTCTAAACAAGAATAATTATTGCTTTCTAGAGAGATAAGGATAACCATGAGACAAAAACGTGCAGTTGGGAACCATTCTCAAACAGTGGAGAGAAAAAAAAAGGGAAAAAAAACCCTGGACATTCTGTGACTGACCTCAATAAATTTATTTTAACTAGTTTATCTATGGATGCAGACCAAATGGGATGATTTTGTCAAAACCAGATGCTGAATATTCTTCAATATCAGAAGTTAATCTTTTGTAATTGTATTACTATCAAAACATAACAATAATGCACATTCATGTTGAAAGAGAATGACTGAATGATTTAGAAAGTAGATCTTTAAGTCAATTCACATAACTGATTACTTCAAAGCCTTACACAGTACTGAGGCTTTGCAATCAGAATTAACCATCCCAGGAAATAGTAGGAGGTATGAGATTATAGAGGCAAAATGCACACTTGTACATACATGTACACATTTTCCACAATTTTCTACCAGACACACATTTTCTATCTAATAAATGAAGAAAATAGCAATATATGTACTCCATCACTGTTTGCCTATTCCTCTAATATGTTGTACAATTTCTTTTTTTTTTTTGGTACAATTTCTTAAATAAGCTTTTAATGTGCATTTCCTACTCAAGTAAGAAAGCATGATACACTGTTTTTTCAAAATATTTTTATTGATTTGCATATAGTATGTGTCATTCATATACATTTCCCCCTACTAGTTTATTTACAAAATTCAAATACAAATTTGAACAAATTCTTCCAATTACCCTCACTTCCCCACCCATCAAGTTGTACAAGCCGGTGAATAATCCTCCCTCCCTCTGCACACCCACAACCCTCTGCTTCCAGCCTCTCCCGCCCCTCCTGAATCCTTATACTCGTCCCTATTTTATTACTTTGTATATTTATAGCCCTAAGAAGAGCAGGTAATGTCCCCAGTCCCAGAAGTCCAGCAGGCTGGCTCTGGGAGTTAAAATAATTTGGGGGCAACCTGGAGGTGCAAGGTTTTTCTCCTCGGTCTAAGAGTAAAGGGTTAAAAAAGCAAAATCATATATAAATGTATGTTATCCATAACTTGTGCTTTCTCTATCCTCTGGAGGCACACAGGAAATAATTTCAAAATTCATGATGTGAAAATTTGGACATGTCTGTGAATCAAACGGTACAGTGGACTTTGAGAAAACGTGTTACGTACGTGTCCCAGAGTTCTAAGTAACGCATATTTTACGTCTTTGTTTCTAAAACTATAGATTAAGGGGTTCAGCATGGGAATAACCAGCGTGTAAAATATCGAAGCTACTTTTTCAGCATCCAAAGAATGGCTGGACTTGGGTTGCAAGTACATAAAGCTTAAAGTCCCATAGAACACCACTAACACTGTCAGGTGAGACCCACAGGTGGAGAAAGCTTTTTTCCTGCCCTCAGCTGAGTTCATCCTGAGGATGGTTGCAAGAATGAAGAGATAAGAAACAAGAACTATTAGTATAGAGGAAACCAAATCAAACGCTGCTAAGATGAGAATGATTAGCTGAATTTCTTGTGTGTTTGAGCACAGCAAAGATAACAAAGGGAGAATATCGCAGTAGAAATAACTGATCACATTGTAGCCACAGAAGGACAAGTTAAAAACCTTGATGGTGACCAGAAGGGACACAAACGTACTGTACAGATAGGGGATTGCCACCAGCACCTGACACGCTCTTTGAGACATGATGGCTGTGTAGAGCAGAGGGTTACAGATGGCCACATAGCGGTCATAAGCCATGGAGGAGAGAAGAAAAAGTTCACTAGTTATAAACAAAATAAAGAGCGCCAACTGTGCAGCACAACAGCCGTAGGAGATTGTGTTTTCCTTGATAACAAAATTCACCAACATTTTGGGTCCCACTGTGGTTGAGTAACCCAGATCTGTGATGGCCAGGTATCTAAGAAAAAAGTACATGGGCGTTTGGAGCTTGGAGTCCTTCTTGGTGAGGACGACCATGCCCAGGTTGCTCACTGTTGAGATGACGTAGATGATGAGGAACAGCCCGAACAAAGGAGCCTGCATCTCAGGGTGGTCTGTGAGTCCCACTAGGATGAATTCGCTCAACCTGGTTAGGTTGTGTTGCTCCATCTCGGTTTTTTTTCAGGGGACCTAATTTGGGGAGAGACATCAACATAATGAAGAGCTTGTAGGCAGTATTATCTGATATGGTTCTTTTTGAGTATATAAAGCTGTCATGAAAGATATAAACAAAAACTGACTAATTTAAATACACCTCTCACAAAATTTTACATATGCATACATACAGGGATAATAAATAGTTAGATGAAGCACACATAAAGGTTAAACTTTTCTGTTTTGGCTTTGAATGCATGCACTGTTATTGTATTGTTTTTGTTGGTACCATAGAGTCAACACCGACCCCTAGCTGATCTTCCAGCAGGTTTTCAGAGGCAGTTAGTTAATCCATCAGGAGGAGACTGCCCATCCTTCTCCCATGGAGCAGCTGGTGGCCTCGAACTGTGTGCCTCGGTGATTGCAGCACAACTTCTTGCCACTAGGTCACCTTTGTTATTGCATTAATCTTTATTTTAAAATACCTTTTACATATAGTTGACAGTGACTAGGGAGGATAGAAGGAAAACTGATGCCTTTGAGCTATGGTGCTGGAGAAAAGTATTGAGGATACCATGGACTGCTAAGAAACAGATTCATTCTTAAGAGGGTTAAACTGGGCTACATCTTAGAGGCAAGGATTCTGAGGCTCCATCTAACATACTTTGGACATGTTGTAAGGAGGGACCAGTCCTTAGAGAAGGACATCATGCTTGGGAAGGTGGAGGGACAGCGCAGGAGGGGAAGGCCCTCTATGAGGTGGGTTGATTCAGTGACTGAAGTAATCAGGATGGGTGAATTGGAGACAATGCGACTGGCACAGGACAGAGCGGAGTTTAAGGCTGTTGTACATAGGGTCGCTATAAGTCGCAAATGACTCGACAGCACATAACAACAACAACATTCACGTACAGTTAAAAAATGGATAAGAATCTGATCTCGAAAACGATGTATTTGTATTTTATAAGTAAAATAGCATAAGAAAAATAAATGGATATATACTAAAGTTCTACTTTAAAACATCCATGGAGATATTAAGACAAATAATCTCCATTAGTGTGTGTGTGTGTGTG